TGCTGATCCCAGTAGCTTTTCTCCCCTTATTCTCTATAGGAAAATCCCTAACATAAAAACTACATTTCCCAACTTCACCTGGGGCTAGCTGTGGCCTTGTGGCTAAGATTTAGCCAAGAAGATGTAAGTACTGTGGTTCTGTGGCAGCTCCCTTAAATCATGCCTAATGGGTACCTTGTGTCCCGTCCCCTTTTTTTCCTGCCAATTTTCCATCCTGCTGTCTGGAACATAGATGGTAGGGCTCTTGCAGTCACACTGGGTCATAAAGATAAGCACCACACCTGAAGAGTAGACAGAGCACAAAATAGCAGGAACTTAGATCCCTGATCTCTGTGGGGCTGCTGGGTTAGTTCTGAACCACAATTAATGAAGGAAACATTTCTAATTGATGCTAATTTGATTTGGGATTTTATGTTATATTTAGTGAATCCTAGTTTGATACACATGCCAAATTTTAAAAATTAGGAGATTTTGCATAAAAACTCAGCACTCTGGTTTCTGTCTTGAAAATTTGGAATATCTGACAAATTTGGAGTCATGTTCTCCATTATAACAATTAACCAGCAAAGGATAAAGGATGCTTATCTCAGAGATGGAGAGCTTTACCTAAAAAAAAAAAAAAAAAAAAAAAAAAAAAGCAAGAACAAATGTCCTGAGGTGGAAACAAGCTTGACTGGACATGGTGACCAAGAGAAAAGCCATCTCTTGGAGAAAGCCAAGAGATTAAGTCACACAGAGAGGCAGGGGTAGGTAGAACTTTCTTTCATTCAGAGATAGGGGCTTAGAACTCACTTAGAAATCATAAGAGAATTTTAAGTAGGTAAATGAAATTCCTTTTTTTATTTTGAAACCTCTTTTTTTGGATGCTGGTTAGATTATAAATTGGCAAGAACAGAAGGAGACCAATTAGAAGGCTATTTAAAAGTCCAGGTGAGAAATGACTCCTGATTTGGAAAATGTGGCAATAGTAGAGACAGAATGAACAGATTCAGGATTGAAATTTAGTGGTAAAAACAACAAAACTTGACAGTAGATTGAATGTGATGTTTGAGGAGATGATAGGAATCCAATAGGACAGATGAGGGTTGCATTTACTGAGATGAGGAACCTCAAGGAAAAACAGGTTTTTGAAGGGAAATCAAGAGACCTATTTTGCCCATGCTTTGTTTGAAATGCCTGTGAAACATCCATATAGAGATGACAAGAAAATATTTGGATAAATGAAAATGGAGCATTACTTCACATTCATTTTGTAATTTGTCATCTGGTTTTCTAGTTAGGAACCTCTGAAATTCCATGAATTCGTTCTGGACTGCCTTTAACGAAGGAAACATTTTTAGTTTATGTTCGATGTTGTTTGGGACTTGCCCTGGGCCAGCTGAGCTTCCCAAGAAGGGTCCAGGTCCTCATCACTTCAAGGGGCTTATCATGCCTATGGGTATTGTTATGCTCTATTTCATGTATTAGGTGTACTTTTAAAAAAATCAAGAAGGTCAAGTTGCAAATTGCTATTTCTCATTAATTTACATTTCAGTTGGTCAAGTGCCTTTGCTTCAATTTTGAATGATCTTCAGCTGACTCAGTGTGAAGTGTCTGGTTTTTACATTTCCTCTTCTCCCTTTTTATTTCTCCCTGCCTGGTATCTTCTCTAACAAGCTTTTACTTCATGAACTATTAAAAGGGGGGACCCTTTAATTCATCCTTTGATGATTCTGGCGTGCTGAGAGTGATTTTTCAGAGTTTAGGAAATGAGTCACTTCTTTGTTATTTCTGAAAAGTTGGGGATAAAATCAAAGAACAAAAAAGACAGGAGGCCAGGTTGGAAGGTCTGATAGCCAGGTGAGCTGGTCTCATACTGACTTTCAGATTCAGAAGTTGTTCCACTCTGCTGCAAAGAGTTTGAGTTTGGGGAAGTCACTAGAGAGAGAATAGATGCTTTTCCCTGTGAACTGCATCTTCCAAGAACAATAATGCACAGAGGTAAGTCCAATATGCCCAGTTATCTTGTCCAAATTACTCTCGGTCATCAGAGGTGGAATGGTAAGGAATTGAGAGAGGCCAGGAAATAGTTCTTCTAGAAACTTGGAATGGAGAAAGGACATTCTCCAACAGGTGATGGAAGTGTTTACCATGAATTAATTGGTTTGTTCTGTATGTTTGAATTTTCATAAATTGGATTTTCAGTTCGTTGGGCACCATTAAATTCAAAAAGCAGAAATCACGCATGATTCTGCAACTTTCTAGTTAGATAAATTGGGAAAAATTCCTTGACCCAAATTGTCATGTTCCTCTTGACAAAAACACTCAGGGGAACTGGGCTACACGAAATAACCACACAAGAGACAGAGATACCTTTTTCTTTGGGGTCCTGTGACACCTCCTCTGACCTTAAGGGTCCACAGAAAGAGATCGAGCATGTGCTGAACCCTTTTATTGAGGAAAAGCCATTCAAATGAGGCAAGGGGTCAGGTTTCAGGGGGTTGAGTCCAGCTTCATGATGTCTGCTGTCAGCAGGTTGACTGACATCTAGGAAGGCCATACCCAAAGCCAGAGCAAGAGAAGGGAACAGAGTGTTTCTATGGAACATTCTATCCCAAACAGGGCAAAGGGGTAATATTACAAAGGAACAGGTGAGCGTAGCTCAATCCATGGGGCAACACGCCTGCATCTGAAGATGCATCCTCAACCTCCAGGACCAGGGCAATGTCCAGGTTACTAGGAGATGTAGTGACGATCAGAACCTCTCTGCTCAGGGAAGGAGAATGCGAAATCATTCAGACTGGCACCCTACACCAAATCTTGCATTTCTCATTTGTAAAAATAACGGCAATAGTACCAACCTTATGAAAAAACTCATGCAACATACTGCTCTGCCTGGGTCAGAATAAGCACTTGATAAAAGTTTACTACTCTAATTATACTAATTATCATTACCATGTTGGATAATATGCTGGGACAATAAAGATAAAAGGTATAAATTTACCATCTAGAAGGCTTAAGACCCACTATGGAAGTATGCCAGAGTTCAAATCTTAAGTGTTCCCCAGAAGTCTATGTATTAAAGACTTGTTCCCCAGTTTAGTGCTGTTGAGCTATTGGAAGGTGGTAGAAACTAAGAGTCGGGCTTAGTTGGAGGTCTTCCAGTCATTGGGGGTGGTCCCCAAAGGAGACAGTGGAACCTCAGCCTCTTCCTTTTTCTTATTTTCCCTTTCCAGCCATGAGGTGAGGGGCTTTGCTAATCCACACTTTTTCTACCATGATGTTGCTGAGAGCCACCCCTTTGGGACAATTCTTTATCTCTATTACTGCTTTACCTCCATCTCCTGCTAAACACCTTTGCAGCTTTTCCTCTGAGCTACTTCGTGCTCAGAAGCCTGTGTCTAAGCATCCTGCTCTGTACCCCATGTGTTCTCACTGTCTGTTAAAGTGACTGGAATTTGGCCAGGAGCCCTGGCAACTAATCCCAGAAAATAAATCAAGCACTTTCCAGCAATCAGTGACACAACCAGTTCACATTCCCAACAGGGTCTCTCTAAATCACAGAGGCTGATATTGAACTTGTGATCCTCCTGCCTCAGCTTCCTCAATAGCTGGGATTATAAGTGTGCGTCATCATGACTGGTTCATGTCCCTCTTAAGCAAGGCAAACCTTGCATGCATTAAGGGGAGGTGGTTGAAGGAATATAGACTTTCAACATTTTTATTAGTTCTGCATTGTGAGGGCTCAAATATTTGCACTCCAGGGATGAAACAAGAGTTGCACTCCAAATGGTGTAGGAGACATCCTGTTACTTACACAATACCAGAAGCATAAATTAAGAATGAATTCTGTAAGGGGAGCTGTTGGGGAAGAAGTAGAGTCTTTTTAAACAAGTTTTGACAATAGCAGTAGGACTTTACCAGGAAATAATGGAAGAAGGGAATTACAAACAGGAAGAACAAGATGAACAACAGCTTTACCAACACACATGACAAAATATTATCATCAATTAATTCAAAGCAAATTTGCACCCTTTGCCACAGACTTTTTTGGAGGATTAATTTCTTGTTCCATTAGTCATAAACTTCCTTACCTCTTTACCCTGTACAGATTTAACATATGAAAATATATGTAAAGTACTTATAATAGTGCCTGGTACATGGTTAAAACTATTTGTTCGTTTTTAAAACCAGGGGCTGCATCTCTTGAACTTTTGGTAACTAAGTAGCTGAACTTCTCTTATCATAAGATATAAATAAGTTCTCGAGCCTACCAATTATTCTTTCATGTCTTTTAGCTTTGCTCACTTCAACCGCCATCGTGCAAAAGTGCTCAAGATTCAATTTCAAAAGCCAGACGTTTTAAGGGGCCAGTCCAAGGTGCAGCACAAAACCTGAGCCTCCAAAACGGAAAGGTATTCCAGGACCAGTCAGACGGTTTGGGTTTGGGGCTATTAATGGGCAATAACATCTTAAAACAAGGCTTGAATTTTTTTTTTCATCTATTTCTGAATCCTATTACAAAGCTCAAAAAACAGCATTCTGAATCCTTAAGAACGTTCTGTGCAGTAGGTTGACACGCCCAACCCGGAGAGGTGTGACAGTTCCTGCAAGAAAGTGCCACGTAAGTAGCGGCGCTGGAACTAATTTAACATCTAAGAAAGGTCGAGAGTAGGCAAAGGCGGGTCTGGATATTAAGGCCGAAGTCGCGAAAGGAAGCATAAGTAATAGCTGAACAGTTCTGGGACAGTGAGGCACAGAGCGGGGAGCCGGGTTCCAGATGGGTGCGGGAAAGATGCCCAGAGGGAACTGTCAACCCGCCCTGGGTACCTGCCTGAGTGCCGCGTCCAATGGGAGGGGCGTGTGAGCCGCACCTCAACCTGCCCGAGGACGTCACGACGCCGAGGCGGACGCCGGGCCAATGGGAGCCCGTCAGGGATAGGGGGCGGGGCCCGGAGTTGGGGCAGGGCCGCACGGAAGCAGTTAGAGGAGTCGTGTGGCCTCCGCGGGTGAGGGTGGCTACCCGTAGTGCAGCTGCGGACGCGGCCTGCCTCTGACCTCTCCCGGTCTTCTCCCACCACCCGCATGGTTCGGGCTGCTCACTGAGCGGCGGCGGGGCGTGACGGACGCGCCGCCCAGACGGCTCCGGGTCGCAGCTTGCAGTCACCGGCACTTCCTCCTGCGGCGCCCGTGCGCGGGCGGCTGGGCAGGCGGGATGGCGGCCCGGGGTAGCGGCCGCGCATCGGCGCCCCGGCTGCTTCTGCTCCTGCTGGTTCTTTTGCTGGGGTCCGCGGTCGGGGTCCGGGCCGGGCCGGAGGAAGACCTTAGCCACCGGAACAAGGAACCGCCGGCCGCTGCCCAGCAGCTGCAGCCGCAGCCCGCTGGCGTTCAGGGGCCCGAGCCGGCCCGGGCCGAGGTGAGCGGGCCGTGCTGGGCAGGAGGGGGATGGGGCGCACGCGGCTGCGGAGCCGGCTGCTCTGGGTACCAGGCTCGAGGCCCGCGAGAGCGCCGCCCTCCGCCCCGGCGCCGGCTGGGGGAGGGGAGCCCGCCCCCGCTCGCCCCCTCTCGCCAGGAGGAAGGCGATCCTCTGCGTCCTTCCCCGGGTGAGGCCAGGCCTCGCCCAGCTCCTTATGGGGGAAGGGAGAGGGAGAGCCAGCGGAGAGCCTGCCGAGTGTACCTTCAGTTCCGCGGACCTAGATGCTGCTGGGAATCCGCGTCTCGATCAGATGTGTTATACTGGAAATACTGGAAATGCGGATCCCAAGTAGAAAGTTTTTGGCAGCTGGGAGAATTTTTTAATTCCCTAAGGATGATCATATCGGCCATTTCGTTATTGAAACAGCATATTCAAAATGCTTATCAGGCCTGTGGGTTTTGCCAAATTCAGTGTGTGTGGATTATGTACCCCGACTCTCACTTTTTAACAAAGTGGCATGGTTTGCCGGGAGTGGCCCTCAGGAACGCGGAGGAATAATCACTTTGGGATAGTATAGATTGGTAGAGCAGTGTGGGATGTCAAAACTAAATTTATTAGTAAACCAGAATCTATGTTTTGTTTGTCCTTACCTAAATAGATGTAAACTAACTTTTAAATCGGCTTTAAGAGAATCACTCCTTTCTCATTCACTTGGCAACAATTAAGAATTTTCCTCATTCAGTCTTGGGCGCGCTCTCCATTTCCTGTTCAGCTCTCAAGTTCTGGACCTTTTATCTCCCCTAGCAGGGCTAGTTTGGGGTCCAGCTGCCCATCCCTAGCCTCCATTTTATCTCCCCTAGCCTCCATTCAGCCCATCTGCACCTACTTTTTCTAAACATTGAATTCTACCATCATATCAGCAATCTTCAGTGAATTGCCCCTGTATAGTAATTTCAGTGCAGCCTTGTTTGTGGAATGGATATTCAGGTTTCTAAATGTTCTGGCTCCAGCTAACCACCACGCTTTTGCGCAACCACTCCCTTGCTCATATGGTGTACTATTAAAAAAAAAAAAAAATGTTTCAGTAATACTTTCAGACAAGCCAGGTGATCTTTTCTGGTCTCTCCCAAACAAAAGACCTCTCTAAAAGAAAGACTAAAGTATGAAGCCTGTGGGTCAGACCTTTCCCGCCTTCAAGAACCTGCAGATACCTACTCTGTCGCCTTCTCTAAAATTTCATTTATTCACATCATTGGATGTTTGTTACCTTGTTTGGCTTTTCCAGTTTTTTGTTGTTTTAACTGAGGATAGAAATTTCACAGAGGCCGATTTTGGTTTCAACACATCAAGAACTTTCTAAGAATTAGAGCAGTCCAAACTGTAGTAGTCAATTTTGAGAAATAATGAAATTCTCTTCACTGGAAGTACTCAGGAAGAAGTTGAATAACTAGCCACCTCTGAAGAGATTTAAAGTTACAGGGAACTTTAGATTCTGGGAGCTGATTTCATCTTCAAAACTGCTGTTCAGCAGGTAGAGCAGGTGCCATTTCCTGTTCATGGATGGGGAAAACTAGATTTGGAAAGAGTGATGTTTAATGTCTCAGAGCTAAGAAGTTCATTCTCAGTAGAACCAGAATTAAAATTCAGGTTTCAGAGTCTTACCAGGTGTCCTAAGTGTTCATTGTATCAAACCAGAGCTCTTTTAATCTATTTATTTATTAATGGATTTTAATGGTTGGTTGGATATTGGGCCGATACAGGTCTTTGATCCTGATGCCTGGCTTTCCTTTTTCCCTTTATGGGGTGCTTTAGCCTTTTGTTTCTGTTTCTATCTTTACAGTTACATCCTGCTACCTTGGGTTCCCATAATTTGTGTACATGTTTCATCTGTCCCTGTTAGCTTTTTAGTGTCTGGACAGCCATGGTTATATCTTATCTTTGCTCTCCCATAAGGCCTTGCCTGTTGGTGTTTATTGAGTAATTTTCTGTGAGTGAATTAAAGTAATTACATTTCAAGTTTCTATCAGTTATTAAATCCTTCTATGGAAAAACTATGAAGTGAACTCAACAGAAAATATTTTTAATTGTATCTGTCTAGTCTCTTTCTCTCATTTGCTGAAGGATCTGCTAGTTGAAATTAAGAAAAACCAGGTATTAATCACCTGTTGCCTGAAATGAGATCATATCCATTCATAGATTGGTGTTGGGTTTAAAAGTTTTAGCTTTAGCTGGTTATATTGTTGTTAATTCTGGGATTTTTGTAAAGTTAAAAAAAAAAGCATAAGAAAAGATTAGAAGCATTTGAACTCAAGAGTAATAAACATACCATGATGACAGAGATGTGCAGTATAAATCAAGTCAGAGGTATAAAAGAAGTGTGCATCATTTACCATCATGAGAAGTCAGGGTCTCTACTGGTGCAGGGGAAGTGAGGAGTGGGCTTCTCTGTCCTCTTCTTTTGCCTACCCTCCCTGCTCAGCCATGGGTCAGGAGTGGGGCTGCCATTCAGACAGCTATGCCTGTCACTCTCTGGCTCAGCTGATGTGCTCCTCACATCTACTTCTGAAGTTGAACTGATTAATGAACTTTATTCTTAGTGTTCATCATTTAGCCCATTGTCATTTAGCTCAATATCAGAAGTTTATTTTAGAATAACAACTATTTTGGGTTAAGTAACTGTGAGAGTGAGATTTATGAATGAATAACTTTTAGGCATTTTGTTGAAGTTTGAGTCATGATTTTTAAGAAGACTAGTGGTAGATATTAATAGTAGTTACAGCTATTAATAACCCTTTTTAGGAAGCTGGGAAAAATGCAGCTATGTAAATAGAGGCCACCGTGGCAGAAACATGTCTAGTGACCATATTTGAGTGGTCAGAAGGATCTTTGTCTTTAAAACTAGGGGTGGGGAGGGAAAGGAAAGGCCCAATATAATGTTATTTTTTCCTTCTAATATTTTCATGTATTCTTGGTCCTTTGGAGTTAGGAATTTATTTTTAATTCTTATAGCAAATATAATTGCCTTGTTTTTAATATATTTTCACTTAATTTTTTTGATGTCAAAAATAGTTGATGCTCAGCTTTTTATTTACAGTGCTACAGTATGTTGACAATTTTTGCTTTCACGTATTTTCTAAACTATGCAATATAACATTTGCTTTTTTGGTGTACCTAATGGAGGTAAAAAACGATCAAAATACAGTTTAATAGCCACATAAACAAGGGTTCAGCATTGCTGAATATCGAGTTTCAGCTGGCTTTGCATCTACACATAGTATGTCTTTTAAAGGGACAAAAATGTTTAAATTTAACCTTTTTTATGCAGCTGTAAGTGGACTTCTAAAAATGAAGGGAAAAAAAATCCCTTAGTAGATTCATGCATTGAAGTGGAAGATGAATTGTCAACATGTAATTGCATCTTACAGGGTGCTTTAAAGTAAGGAGACTGAACTTCTAAATTGGGCTTTCTGTGTGGATATGTTTTTGTTTAATAAGCAGGTTAAAATAAATTGGAGGAATTTACTCTGAACTTAAGTCATGAATAAACTCCAATTTACAAACCATGGGAATAAAGTACTCTTGGATCTCAAAAGTATCTCTTGGATCCTTTCTTTTATGCAGTTTATGTTTCTAGTGACCTACTTAGGTTCCCCCCACCTTTATTCCTTCCATAGGTAGAGTACATATATATGAAGCATAAGTCCTTTATGTTGGGGAAGATCAGGTAGATTTAATAAAGGTAATTTATAATTTGCTGAATATTCTGAAAGTCTAAAGGAGAAGTATTCTGGTTGCAGTTGCCAGATCACTGTTGATAAGCCTGCAAAAATCCTCTTGCCTGACCCAGTATAGGTTCTCATTTTCATATTTTTACTGTATTGTTACTTGAAATTTTTAAAAATTATCTTTTAATCATGAGAACACCTTTTACAGGTTCTTTTAAGATTTCCCCCATTTTTATTAAGTTGCAGTCCTGCTTCATTCAGTTCAGCCTCCTGATTTATTACTAGGATTGAGGCTCTTGCCTATGAGGACTTTAACATATTCATAATTACCCTCTCTGTTATATTACTGAATTTATTTGATGGTGTCCTATCATCAAAGCAATTCAATAAGAAAAATTGAGTCCGGTGTGTTAGTGCATACCTGCAATCTCAGTTACTTGGGAGGCTGAGGAAGGAGGATGGCGAGTTTCAGGTCAGTTTGGGTAACCTTGTTAGCCCCTATCTCAAAATGAAAAGGGCTGGGGATGTAACTGAGTATAAAGCACTTGTCTAGGGTGCAACAGGCCCTGATTTCAATCTTCGATATTCCAGGAAAAAAAAAAAAAAAAAAGAAGTGTGGGAAGGAGAAGAGATAGAAGAAGAAAGAAAATTCAGTGAAAACTACATACTAATTCTAAACTTTATGAAGCATTATATAATGGTAACATAAAAATAAAATTGCTAAGCATTAATTATATTTTTCAAAAGTAAATGTTAAACATGAATTAACATAACATTAATAAAATATTATTTTAAAAACAAGCTGAATCATCTACAAATACAAAAACATAATAGCGGAAATTTAAAATAAAATGTTATATCTTGGGCTGGGAGTTTAGCTCAGTGGTAAGTGGTTGCCTCGCACACAAGAGTCCCTGAGTTTGAATCCCACTACCACACACGCAGAGTTACATTTTTAATTTGAAAGTTATGTCTTCAGTTTGCAGTCTTGAAACCCGGGTTATCCATGGTGTCATTGGTTTAAGTCAATGTGTATATTTGTGCACATTTTTATAACTTCTGAAAAAACTTTTCAGATTCATATCAGTAAAATTGTGTTGAGGAAACAGTTCTGAGCTAATGATAAGCATCTTCCTCTGACACTTAAAAATAATTTCAGTAGAGTGCTTGCTGCACATGCACAAGACTCTGGATTCAATCCCCAGCACCACAAATAATAATTTCACCTCTTGTTTGACAACTTTTGTTGAGCAACTTTGGTTTTTTTGCAAGGAC